TATATATATATATATATATATATATGCCCTAGTTTCATGCTGGGCAAGGGAATTCATTCTCCTGAGGCACGAGCTGCAATCCTACGAATTCCCAATTATGAGAAAAATTCTGCTCTGTAAGGTTTCGCCGAGGACAAAACCAACGAAACCCTGGTTTTTTGATTCGCCCTTCAAACGACGAAGTCCTCGTATTTGACGACAACTACGAAGGACTTTGCGCTCGTCAATCTCCATCGCGATCGTGCTCTTCTCTTTCGCGCCCAACGACGAAGGGCCTCAGCGTTTTCCTGCTGCAGTTTTGTGTCTATCGAGCTGCGATGCAGTTTCGTCTTCCTGTTGTGGTGTCGTCTGCATCTTGGCATCTTCTGCGGGACTGAGTCCGTGCGGGCGTCGCGCGCGTCTCTGCGGGATTCTGTGGCGTCAGTCGTCTGCGTTTTCTGCGCAACATCGCCCCAGACATCTTCTGTCCTACTTGCAGTTCTTCTCCCTTACTGTGACTTACTACGATGGAGCTTCCTCCTTCGGTTGAGCCCGGTAAAACTTCCTTTGCCCATGTTGTGGGTAATCCTCAAGGCGAGACGGCAGTTGTCTTCCCCTCAAATTATAAGAAGAATCGTGATAGTACATGTGATTGCCCCTTTATTAAGAATGCAAGCAGGAAGAGTGGGAATGCAGCACTATTTTTCTCTGAGTCAAAAATTTCAACTTTGACTGACAAATTCAAATTTGCTCTCATTGGGAAATTTCAGTGGGAACACTCATATATGGAAGTTATCAGGAAAAGTTTTGATAACCTCAAATTAGCAGGAAAGTGGAAATTGGGGCTCAAGGATGGGAGACATGTTTTGATTCAGTTAACCGTGCCTGAAGACTACACTCGTATTTTCTCCAAAAAATATCTTAACATTGCTAGTAAACCAATGAAGCTACTCAAGGGGTCTCTTGATTTTGACTCCAATCATGAACCTCCTACTGTATTGGTATGGTTTAGTCTACCTGGTTTCAAGCTGCATTTTTTTCATCATCAGGTTCTCTACTTTATTAGTGTCATACTTGGAGACCCTTTGAAGCTAGATCTACTCATTTTCAACCTTATCAGACCTTCTGTGGCCAGAATACTTGTGAAAAGAGAATACTTTGTCTAATGTTACTGAAGTCTGGTTGGGCACAATACATAATGGATATTGGCAACAAATTGTCATGGAGCATAGACCTTATTGTTCTCATTGTAAGATGTTTGGGCATACTCTTGATAAATGTCATAAGCTTCACCCTGATTTGAAATCTAAATATCAAGTGAATAAGGATGGTTCTAAGGATATATTTGTACCACCAGGAGAGAAAATTACCACATAACAGATTTTGGTGTCTAATTCTCTTGCCCTGTCGTTATTGTTACTGCGAGTGATGTGATGCTGACTCCTTCAAATCTCATAGAAAATAATACTGATGAACTATTATCTACAAATGATAGTATTCATAATGATAATCAGGAGAGCCTCGTAGCTCCACCTCTTCAAGAAGTATCTGGTGTAGAGACAACTCATACTTCACATATATTAGAACCTATTGTGGGTACTACGGTTGATATTCCTTCTGCTTCAGCTCTACCACCCCATCAGACTGATTCTTCGGATGAGGAATGGCAGGTATATTCCAGGAGGAAAAAGAAGAATGGAGACCGACTCCAACTCGAGAACATATTGGATGATACATTGGTTACTACTCGCAATGACAATCATCTTACTAACTTATTAGCTTGCTCCTTCACTAAAACAAGAGGCAGAGGCAAGTCCAAATTGGGTCGCTCTCTAGCCACCTGATTATGTATTTCATCACTGTTAGGCTTTTTATTTTAGTATCTAATATATTCACACACACACACAGAATGAGGAATGGCAGGTCTATTCCAGGAGGAAGAAGAAGAATGGAGGTCGACTCCAACTCGGGAACATATTGGATGATACATCGGTTACTACTCGCAATGGCAATCATCTTACCAACTTATTAGCTTGCTCCTTCACTAAAACTAGAGGCAGAGGCAAGTCCAAATTGGGCCTCTCTCTAGCCACCTGATTATGTATTTCATCACTGTTAGGTTTTTTATTTTAGTATCTAATATATTCACACACACACACACACACGTCACGGGAAAAAATTAAAGATAAACACACACACACACATATCAGGGGAAAAAATTAAAGATCTGCATATCAAAACTACAAAATAACAGAAATAAGTTCTTTTCCTTGAAAGCAAATATAAAATAGTGTTCGATTGTTTTTAATAGATTTATGGATTGAGATTCAATTAATGGATTCTAGCCCAGAGAGCAATCACAACAATTACATTATACTAGAGTGACAATCATTACATTAAATCATAATAGGTATAAGGTGAGTACAGTCACAACTGTCATAACAGAGTAGATAAAAATTTTAGAAACAACTAAATACAATCACAACAGTTATAACACAGCCTATAAAAATTGTGATACTACTAAATGCAATCACAACATTCATAACAACGCAAAGTTAAAATGCTCCTTCAATGCCTTAGGTGAGAATTACAATCATTTAAGTTGATGAAGCCAACCTCACACTAATATGACCAAGTGTACACCATTATAAAGTGCTCAAATCAATGGAATACTACCATCACGATTAAAAACATTTTCATCAAACAAAAAGAGGTGCATTTTCAATTTTATAATCGTGAGCTGAAGCCACCATGCAGAAATTTTGAAGAAACAATCAAAACTATTTTTAAAAAAGAAGGTAAACAATTATACAATCAAAATATCAATATTTGCCTTGGTCTTTAGAAGCATATTCGACGGTGATAGAAATATCATCGTATCTAATATTCAACACAATAATGCCATTAATGTCAAATTATCAACCAGTTTCTCCATCACACCCCCAGATATTTGTAATACATAGCAAGATAACTCAAACAAATCAAATTTAAAAAAGACAGAATAGAAAACAATAATTCAAGCCATGTTTGAACTATATTCAAATAATAGCAGAATAATATTCAAACAGAGATATAATCTTTGCTTCAACTTAGCCCAAACCTTGATCGAAACTTCATCAAGCATGCTAGGACTTATTAGATCACTACTCCAACGTCTAAACAAGTTTCAAGCTTATAATTTGTTGTCTAATATCTTTTTGAGTTCAAGTTTAGAGTAACCAAATGTATAATATCACGAACCATGAACAATTAGGACCGACAGAGAACCATTACTCCCAAACATGAAATAACATTTGATAACAAACGATAATTATAGAAATATTAGTAAACAATTGGTGTTGGTTATTAAGTTTGGAAAGGTTGTACGCACTCCAAGCCATTAACCCAGACTTACATTCAACATCAGATGACCATCTCTGAACTTAATTGAAGCTTGTTTGAACATTGAACCAATGTCCTAATAAGTCTGAATGAATTTTCAAACCTAAGTAAACTCCGCCGCCTTTTTCCAACTCCAATCAATAGCAAAATCCACCGCCATCTATATGCCCACAATATCGCACAACAGCAAATCCATACACGGTGCTCCAATCCCACATCACTAACCTCGCTTATCCATAAACTAAAAGAGCTTCAAGTTTGAATGTAATATAACGTTGCAGAATTTAAAACCACTAGACTAAAAAAAGTAATAAACCATGAATGGATCAAGATTGTGTACTTTGAGTGGAAGAAGATGAAAAAGGGAAATGACTGGTAACAGAGGATGAAACAAACAAGCAGCCAGAGAAAAACCTGTGTTTGATATTAATATTGCACTTCAACTCTTGCAGAAGATCCTCAACTGTGAGAACCGTTCCACTTGTAACAGGGGATGGAAGCTCAGCTAAAACCTGAAGTAATAAATATTTAAAAATTTTCAGGAATAAGCATGCACAACCACGTAACAACTCAAAAAGGAAAATTTTCATTTAGAGAAAAAAAAAAACCTTGTCTAAGTTTCGAGCATAATTAGAGACGATATCTTCCTCTAAATCATCACCATCCTCAAAAATAAGATTTGCTCCATGCATTATCAATGGAAGAGTCATGCCTAGTTTGCTTTTTAGAATTTTCTCAACAAAGTCTCGTAATTTTGCAGTCCTAGTGTTAATCTCCAAAATGAGAGGAGTCTGGATTCATGAAAACAAGCCATTATACCATATATATATGACATGAAATTTCGAAGAGAAACAAAATTTTTAGCTTTATATATATATATATATATATATATATATAGCACTTTGCTAGATTTAAGCTAAATTTATAGTGCACATACATAACATGATTTATTAGGCTCAAATGGCTCAACAGGCATCAAAAGCATCTTCCTCGATGGATGCTCTAAACAATATGTCATCCTGAACAAAAATTGAAAAAAAAAAAATGATGCTGAAATAATATTGAAGTGTGATTATATGAGTAGTTGTATCTGAAATGAATAGCAGCGTATACATAAACAGGGATAACCATGATAGATGAAAGAAAAATCACGCATATGTACGTGCATCTATAATTCATTCCTACATATTCATAAGCATGAGATAGGGTTACAAATAAGTCGACACTTGAGTGGCCATAAGCACGCTGCAGTACCTCAAGGATCAAATTGAAATACTTAAAATCAGTGACTGTCAAAATTACATGGTAGCAGTACACAACAGTGGCATTTTTTCCTGTTAACAAGAAGTTTAGGCAGCATAAACTATATTATATATTTAAAGATTCCGTGCATCACATTCATCATCATCATCATCACAAATTTAATATCTTTTGTATTTAAAAAATTATAGTTTTACTTCTATTTTCTTGTGTATTTTCAATTAATCAGATTCTTGTGTTCTCAGAATATTGTGCCATGATGTATTTAGGATGTACTGTCGGGTTATTTGTGTTTTGGGTTTTCTATCGTGGCCAAATGATGTATGGAGTTAGGTATATATGTCTCATTCTCTTGTTTGTCTCCCTGCAACTATAACCTAATTCTCAAAAAACTTGCAAAAAGGCGAGTGATACATGGCAGGAGATTGCTGGAGAAGGCATTTGACGGGCCTTGGGATAGAAGTCGGAGAGACTTGAGATTTACGGCAAAGCACGAGTAACGAAATAAAGATTCCTCAAATTTTAAACTTGTCATTTTGTGGTTCAAAAGAAGTTTAGATAAATCAGGCTTAAACCCTACTCAAACCCTGCCTGCCACCCGGGCCCATCTCTCTTTCCAACTCTCTCTCTCCCTCTCTCTCTCCCTCTCTCTCCCATTCTCTATAAAAAAAGAATTGCAAGAAAATAAAAATGAACAAGAAAAATAAAAAATAGAATAGAAAAAAAAAACAAAAAAGAGAAACAAAACGAAATGAAAAAAAATAGAAAAATTGTGTGAGCACCTCACCGCCTCGCCGCTTTGTTGTCACCAAAACACTACATGCAGGTTTAATGCAAAAGTAGGCACATTTCAATATTTGACCATTTACATACATTGTTCTAACCAAGGTTCTAAAAATTGGACCAAATATTGAACCAACAAAGAAAAAGATTCAAGTTATCAGTTCAAAGGTTGAACGGAGGTTCAACCGGGGTTGAACAGAGGTTCAATCGGGGTTTCAACCGCATGACAATAATCCATAAATTTATTTTAAAATAACACAAATGATGTAACAATACATAAATAGTGCCTTAAAAATTTTGTTACAAAGAATAATATAACATAGTAGAATCATCTCTACAATCAGTTTTGTCAAATTCGATCAAACTTTTTTTTAACATTGGTATATTTTAGATGTGATATTAGATCAAACTTCTTTTTAACATTGGTATATTTTAGACGTGATATTAAGGATGTGAGTGTTATGTTTGGAAATATGAAAGTTTAAGTTTTAGATATTAAAATTAATTTCGCTTCAAGTGATTGAGCAAATTATTCCTATAAAAATAACAACTATTATTTTAAAAAATAAATTTCCTAATACAGCAGTTAATGCAAACCACAATACAAAATGTAAATATTATTACTCAAAACAAACAGGGTTACAATCAAGACCTCAAACAAGGAAGGAAACACAACACAACACAAGTCTCAGACTAGGGGGGGCGACGGTGAGATGGGTTGCGAGAGATTCTGGTTGACTGGCAGGGGCAATCTAGTTTGCAATGTGAGGCGAGAGAGGAGGGGTTGTGGGTGATATCGAGAGAGGTTGGGATTGTTGTAGTGTCTGTAAAATGGTTGGGATGAGATCGGTGCGGGAAAACAAGGAGAACAAGGGTTTGGCAACAGCTGGAGGGCAAAGGGAGCAGACAGGGTCACAAGAAGGATGGTGGGGCTGCAGGGTGGATGGTGGCAAGCACAGGATGTGAAGTAGGGGAGAAATTAGGAAGATTCACACTACCTCAGGACTAGTTACGACCAAAGCATCTTCTCGCCGTCGGATACAGCCCTAGAAGGGAAAATGGGATGTCGTCGGTTGTCCTAACAAAACTAAGAAAAAACTAAACATAGAACACAAAATAATGAACATATATAATATATAACTTGAAGGGGGAGGCTCCTCTTCTTAAGCAGCCCTTGCAATCCTTTGCTGAACCGGTCCAATTAGCCCGACTAGTTCAGCCCTCAGGGAGCCCTGAGTCAGTCTCCCGAGGTTAGTAGAGCTTCAACTTCATTCATCGAAGCTTCTGTCTACATGTTGCGGTGACAGAGTGGTTGGAACCTCTCGGGGATGACGGACTTTTGAAACCCACTGGTGATTGTGTCACCTCCCAAAACATCAGAATTTTCTCCATTTAAGAGAATACCTCCATATCGATCCAATCTTCTGGGGATCCACTACTGAGTTGAACTGGGTCTGTGTCCTATATATAATAATGTATCCTTCTAAAGTAATCCAAAGTCGAGTCAACCTGATATGACATGAGGGCAACTTGAACCTCCTCGAACGGTGGTGGCTATGATGATAAGGTATAGGTTGTGATATCATGAAATGCTTTCTTTCGACTGTCTCCTGTCTGGAATCGGTGTCTTCGGCCTATCATCTTTTTTCATCACCAAAATCGATCCCAATGACACTGCTTTCCTGGCAAGGGTACCGTGATCTCAGGTTCCACAAAAGGAAGAAGAACGACGCGCTTCCCATCTTTGGTAAAGGAGTAGGTGTTTCTAAATTCGTCTCGCTAAGTCGTACCATCAATTTCCATGATCTCCCCAATAGTTGACAGGCATTTATGGGTACCACGTCGCACCACCCTACAAGATCCCCTTGGACAACGTTACACATTGCTGCTAACAAGAATCAATCAATTAGAATAAATCGAGTATCTCCTCTGATTAAGCAAAGCCCGACGATAATTCAAGATAATAAAATCATGAGATATTGATTGGGCTCACCGTCATTTTCCCCAATATCCACTAATAGCTAATGGTGGCAAAGTTCTCAATTTAAAACCAAAATTACTCCTACTATAAGCTAGACATTTAACACCTTAATGGCTAGCTTCCTTAATGGCTAGCTTTCATTAAAAATTATATCACATACATGGGAGAGATAATAAATCATAAGGGCTCGTACCTTTGAGAAACATATAACAAGATCATAAAGTTTTGATAAAATGAAGGAGAAATCTCAAAATAGTGTCTTATCTAAAACTAACCAATCTTCAAAAAAGTTAACCGAAAAAATAATTAAGAGAGAGAGAGAGAATGTCATGAATTGTTAGAGCCAAAACTATTTGACTCATAATATCATCTTTTAACTATTAAGCTTCGGCAAACACCAAGCCGCAAATCATCGTATGATCAAGAGAAAAAGACACAATTCCGCCTAAGAAAAATCTGCAAAGAGATGCACAAGAGCTTATTATGGAGGAAATACAGCGAGAAATCCTTCAATTGCAACAAAAGCTTGTCACCTTCGAGATGAGACAATCCTGTGAGCACTTACCCACAATATTGACTCGCCAAATCGGAGAGCAAGTGAATCTCTT